CCGGCCTTATTTTAGGGTGTTTGGGAGATAAGCGGAGCTCAGTTACAACCAACCTTTCTATGGAGAGCGCACATGTTGGGTCAGAAAAATCTTGTGGCATGTGTTTACTGACATGGCCGTTTCCCCTAAATTAGTGGAGGCTGTAATGAAAAACAAAAGCGCACCAACCTTGCGCATTACCTCAAAAAGCAAAAGGTGAATTTGAGTTGCCATATATACTTACAAAAGGAGAGCTCTGAGGAAGAAGGGATCCCCCTTTGAAACGCGTCAGCTTCATCCTGAGAGTCTCCCCTCTGGGGATCCACACGTGTCTCCTATTCCAGTGCGCTGATGTTGGATTATACGTCTTTATTATTGCTACAGTTGCAATATATATTTACAAAAGTGGCAATAATAAAAAGGCATATAAAATCCAACAGCGCACTGGAATAGGAGACACGTGCGGATCCCATCGAGAGGGGAGACTCTCAGGATGAATCTGACGCGTTTCAAAAGAATCCCTTCTTCCTCAGAGCTCTCCTTTTGTGTATATATGCCCAAAAAGCAGCAGATTATTTATGGGCAACAAAGCAGACCAATCACGTAAAAGAAACTGTACATAAAAGACAAAAAGAGGGCGCACAGGCCTAGTGCATTACCTTAAAAATAGGATTTATTAATAAAAAGTGAATACTCACAAAAATAAAATGTTGTAAAATCAGAAACGCGGGAAAGCATGTCACACAAGATAGCAGTATGGTACAGGAACCCCTGTGGATGGTCTGGTGGGAGACTGGAAGCCTCTGGATTGCTGGGTCTGACGCGTTTCGAGGAAAACGCCTCTTCTTCAGAGCCAATGTGTGTGTTTTGGATATCCCTGGTCCATTGAGGGCAGCAAGGCCTTCTGTCAGGAATCCAACCACGGTAGCCTCTAGCACTCCACAGTCCGGAATCCCCCAAGGTGCGGAATCTAAGCTCCGAACTGCTTGTTCACCAGGGCCCCTGATGGTGGGGATGGACTTGGAGCAGGCCGAGACCAGGTCGCGGCCCCTGGGTTCACCCAGCTGTGGTAGAGGCACCGTAGAAGGTGTATAGTGGGTAAGAGTCTGATGTGAGGAGGTAACTAGAGCAGCGTCGGGCAGGCCAGGTCGGTAACAGTGGTGGCGGTGTACTACAGAATCAGCAGGCAGAGGGATAAAAAGGTCACAAGCCGGGTTTGTCAACAGGTCAGAACATACAGGGTCAAGCAGGAGAATGGTCAGACAAAGCCAGGGATCAGAACAGGAGACGGACAGCAAATCAGGGTCAGGCAGGGTCGGCAACAATCTACTCTCAGGAACACAGATAAGACCATATGGCAACTGAGCATTGCAAGAGCCGGGTTTAAATAGCCCGCCCGACTGCTGACAGGTGTGCCTGGGTCCTAGTGCTTGTCAGGCGCCGTCATTGGTGACAGGCGCACGTAGATCCTAGTGCCCGCCTGCCTGTATGTTTTGTCAGGAATCTACGCATGTGCAGATTTGATCGCCGCGGCGATCTTCTCATTCCCTGACACCTTTTCCACGTGGGGACGACCATAGCGGGGAGTCTACAGTTCAGCGCAGGAGTACATGCATTCGGTTGCTACATTCCTCTTTCCCAATCACGTAAAAGGGCTGGCCCTTTGCGACGTGCAAAATTGCACGCAAACCGCTCCACAAAATCGCTTAGCGAGAACGCTTGGTCCCACTACGCGATGATGTCAATGGGGCATTTAGTTGACTATACACTAGGTGAATTTCATCCGCTGCCTGATGATCTGGCTGACATTTGGTCACCACTCCATTTGACATTTATCGACTGAAGAATCAAAGTAGCCGGGCGTAAAACTGTGGGAAGTACCTGAATCCGATTGGATGCAGGCTGAACAAAAAGAAGTCTGTGTGTTTATGGCCAGCTTAAGGTAAGGGAAACTACAAAAGGAAAAAAAAAAAATCACATGCCACCCCCCCAGCTACACGGAGCCGTGCTGTTTGGCAGAGCTGTGTGAGCCTCAGCACTGGATGGGCAGAAATACAAACCTCATCTATATTTCATGTGTTTATTTAGCAGTTGGGCTGGAATTCAGCTTTGATAAGTATTTTATGTGAAAAGAACGTATTGCTCACCCAGCCAGTATTTATATATGTGACCTGAGCGCATTGATGAGAAAAGTATCAGGAAGTAAAGTAAACGCGTTTAAAATATGCAGCCTATTGATTTGACCTCAAAGTCCTCAATTCATCAGTGAAATGCTCGATACATGTAGTGAATAATTAAACCTGAACTACCGACAGATAATAAAAAAGTGTGCCAGTTAATGCCGTTTTGTATTCATTAGGATAGAATTATATCTGAAGTCCAATAAATAAGATTTGTCTCCATCAGCCGCTGTACAGCGGCATGCGGAGAGGGGAGGGGCAGCTCTCAGAGCCAATCCGGTGCACTGCACGTGCTGCCATGGAGAGGAGAGAGCAGAGGGATGTAGTCAGTGTGCTGCTGTTCCTTCATTGTCCAATCAGAAACTCTGCAGGTGGAAGGGGCGTGTTTTTTTTTGAGCAAGCTGTGCAGCTGCTGCAGAAGGGGCTGAAGTCCTGGCATGGTGCCTGGATCGCAAGACTGACCAAACAAAACTGTAAATCCTCTGACTGATACAGTGATGCACAAATACCTGTTTAGCTGTGCATTTGGCTGCTTGCCTGGCGTGCAGCTTTAATTGTGTTTTCCTTTCCCACCTCTCTTGCTGGCGGATGGTGTTTGCATCCTGCCGAGTCATTTTACAACCGATCTGTGTTTGCTTGTTATGTGTGATTCATGTGCAGTATACACATAGCCGACTGTACTGCATACACGGTCACGTAGGCTAAACGTATCCAAACCCATGACTTTGATGGGGAAGGAAGAGGACAATCTGCTGAATTCTTAAAGAGGAACTTTACCCAAAAGGGGAAGTTCCGCTTTAAGTATTTCTCCCCTCGCCCCCCTCCCCTGCCATATTTGGGGGGGTCGGGTGGCAGATACCTGGTTTTGACAGGTACCTGCTCCCACTTCAGCTTGGATCACCTATGCGATGTGAGTGGAAGTTCTCCTTCCTTCCCACAGTCTTCTGGGACATGTCACAGGTCCCAGAAGACAGCGGGACCAATAGCACAGTGCAGCTCGGGCATGCGCAGTGGGCAGCCAGTTAGGAGTCTGGGAACCCGAAGGCTAGTGAAGAACTAGCCTGGGTGAGGATGGCGCTGGATCTCTGGCCAGGCAAGTGTCCTTTAATTAAAAGTCAGCAGCTACAGGATTTGAAGCTGCCTTTTTTTTTTTTTGGTGAACCGCTTTAAACAGGCAGCAAAAAAAAGCTCTTTTGGCTGTACTTCTCCTATGGATCACAGGAGTGCATTTCATTCTGCACTCCCGTGACCAGTTTCCAACAGTCAGCTGATGTCACTCAGCCAGTCCAGGCTCTGGAAGGATCCTGACTTTGAAGTTGGGATCCACCCAGATGCCTGGATTGGCAGCTAACTCAGGCTCTCAGTGTGCCACTGAGAGCCATAGCCGGCTGCTTCCACCCCCTCCACAGTCTGGCGCTCCAGTGAGCGCTGGAGAGGCAGAGCAAAGAGCCAGAGACTGACAATCACTGCCTGAAGACAGACGACTAAAGACCGAGAACTGAGGAATCAGCGGGGTCTGATCGCTCTGTTCTCAGGTCTCAGAGGACAGCTGCGGCCTTGATTGATCCTGCAGTCATCTAGGAGAGTATGAATGTTCCCCCAGGCTGTAGACTGCTGAGATGAACTGCTGCTGAGTATGAGAAGTGGTGTCACCCCCCCCCCCCCCCATTCATCTAGGAAAGTATGAATGTTCCCCCAGGCTGTAGCCTGCTGAGATGACCTGCTGCTGAGTATGAGAAGTGGTCTGTAACCCCCCCATTCATATGGAAGAGTATGACTGTTCCCCCAGGCTGTAGACTGCTGAGATGACCTGCTGCTGAGTATGAGAAGTGGTCTGTAACCCCCCCATTCATATGGAAGAGTATGACTGTTCCCCCAGGCTGTAGACTGCTGAGATGACCTGCCGCTGAGTATGAGAAGTGGTCTGTAACCCCCCCATTCATATGGAAGAGTATGACTGTTCCCCCAGGCTGTAGACTGCTGAGATGACCTGCTGCTGAGTATGAGAAGTGGTCTGTAACCCCCCCATTCATATGGAAGAGTATGACTGTTCCCCCAGGCTGTAGACTGCTGAGATGACCTGCCGCTGAGTATGAGAAGTGGTCTGTAACCCCCCCATTGATATGGAAGAGTATGACTGTTCCCCCAGGCTGTAGACTGCTGAGATGAACTGCTGCTGAGTGTGAGAAGTGGTCAGTCGCCCCCCTGCCAGAGCTAGTGCTCTCCAGTCAACTGGGAATGTCAGAATGCTGCAGAGAGGCCGCTGTTCACATACAGAGAGCTGTGGTCCTTCCCTGCAGTCTACAGATTCTGGATTTATGGCAAGATTACAGCAATAACAGTAAAGCATTGTCCGTTACCTTTTTGCTGCACATTTTATTTATCGTGATTTTCTCTAAAGACACCTCACTGGCCTTTATCTAAAGCTTGTCCCTTTGCCTTAGGCAAAGCAGGTTTGCTTTAAATAGGCTCCATCAGAACACATGAGCAGGTTTCTACAACTGGGGTTGGGAAATTTAGCTGGACATTCCAGCTGTGGGGAACCTACAAACCCCATAAGATGTTGCAAGGCTACCAGCCACAGGCATGATTTCCGGAGGTAGAGGCATGAAGGGATTTGTATTGTTTGTGGCGGGGTTGTCGGTCCTAAAAACCTGCATGGATCTGCTGTGTCTGTAGCAATGGTATAGGATCATATGCACTATTAACACTTCTCTTTGGAGGAAAGGGAAGGATCACTCCTCACATAAATACTTTTAAGATTAGCTCTACTGTAAGTCGATCCCTATACAGGCCTAAAAACGATCAAATGCAGGGTGAGCGCCTTACCTGGTCCTGTTAGATGCAGCCGCTGTCCCTTAGTTTGCTCACAAGATCCTCTACCGTCTCCACTTTCATGCCAGACTCTCTCTGTGGTGGATCCTCCACGCTCATGATCTTTATTCGGCTTGCAGTGTTCACCCCAAGATCTTCCGGCTTCACAGATTCAATCTTTTTCTTCTTTGCTTTCTGAGAAAAAAAAGAAAAGGGTCGCAAACATTTTTTACTAGATGGTTCTGACAAGTCATGCGATCGGACCATTCAAAATGCACTTCTTGTATGCCAATATATACACTCCAGACGAGGCTGGGTGCAGCACTTTGGAGTCACTGACCTGGAACAACAGGAGTCAAAATTCATGATTTTTGTATTTTCTCCAGGTTGGCAATTCACAGTAATAAAGGCCTTTTTATTGGCTCAACAGCTAAGCAGCTCGCATTTTCAGAAGGACAGAGCCAAAACTGCTACTTACATATAGATCCCATGCCAGGCGTACATATAGATCCCATGCCAGGCATACATATAGATCCCATGCCTGGCGTACGTATAGATCCCAAACGTATAGATCCCATGCCAGGCGTACGTATAGATCCCATGCCAGGCGTACGTATAGATCCCATGCCAGGCGTACGTATAGATCCCATGCCAGGCGTACGTATAGATCCCATGCCAGGCGTACGTATAGTTCCCATGCCTGGCGTACGTATAGATCCCATGCCAGGCGTACGTATAGTTCCCATGCCTGGCGTACGTATAGATCCCATGCCAGGCGTACGTATAGTTCCCATGCCTGGCGTACGTATAGATCCCATGCCTGGCGTACGTATAGATCCCATGCCAGGCGTACGTATAGATCCCATGCCAGGCGTACGTATAGATCCCATGCCTGGCGTACGTATAGATCCCATGCCTGGCGTACGTATAGATCCCATGCCTGGCGTACGTATAGATCCCATGCCTGGCGTACGTATAGATCCCATGCCAGGCGTACGTATAGATCCCATGCCAGGCGTACATATAGTTCCCATGCCAGGCGTACATAGATCCCATGCCAGGCGTACGTATAGATCCCATGCCTGGCGTACGTATAGTTCCCATGCCAGGCGTACGTATAGATCCCATGCCTGGCGTACGTATAGTTCCCGTACGTATAGATCCCATGCCAGGCGTACGTATAGATCCCTGGCGTACGTATAGATCCCATGCCTGGGCGTACGTATAGATCCCATGCCAGGCGTACGTATAGATCCCATGCCAGGCGTACATATAGATCCCATGCCAGGCGTACTATGAGATTTTGCTTTGTTTATACTCTTTAAATTTGCCACACAGTCACAAAGACTTGTATTCGCATACAAGGGCACTTGAGAAACGCTTATCACATATGTAAGCACTAGGCCCCATCCCTCTCATGTCGGATCACGGAGATTACCTGTCACGTGTTTAAAATGCAAACACATGCCTCATAATTTTCTGAGAGTACCCTTGTGTTTCTGGACTTCCAGAAGGTATATGGCCTTACATGTGGACCCCCCCAAATGATTCCATTCAGATGTTTTCAGTGAAGGATACTGTTACCACTTCAGCATACAATGCCATTTTAGACAATTGTGTGCTTCCAACCTTGTGGTAACAACACTTTGGTGAAGGCCCCTTTCTGTTCCAGCATAACTGCACCCCTGTGTAGAAAACCAGCTCCATCAAGACACGGGTTGACCAGTTTGCTAGGTTCACACTAATGTAGTGTGGTACATCACATGTGATTTGTGTGCGGTGTGATCGGAGCCGTACATTTTGTATGGCTTTATTCGCACCGCACCTGAAAGGTGCAGGACCCTTTTTTGAGTCCGCACTAGAATCAAATCGCATGGGCATTCACACCTATGCAATCCGATTCTGCACATCGCACCGCGTTTTGTTGACTGATTTCGGGGTGATGTTAACACACACACCCACATCAATTTGCATGAACGGGGTGCAATTCTGCTGAAAACGCTGCAAATTCCGCACCGCATCATTGTGAACCCGGCCTGAGTGTCCTGCACAGAACCTTGACCTCAACCCCATGGAAAACCTAAGGTGAGACAGGTCTTGTCAAACATCAGTAATATGACCTCACCCAGGAATGGGTAAAAATGTCCATGGACACACTCCAAAATCTGTGAAAAGCCTTTCGCAGAGGAGTGGAGGCCGTTACAGCCCCAACAAAAGGATACCAACTTTATAACAATGCCCAGGAGATATCAAATACGCTCATACAGGTGTGATTGCCATACAATCTATGGCCTGCATCACACAGGCTTCATCTTATATAGGTGTGAACAGCAAGATTTCTTAAAGCTTTTAAAGAACCATTGAGGTGGAAGCACATCATCATCCCCTTTTAGGCCAGTTTCTCAAGGATTTTAGCCTGTATAAGCACAATATGAACAGTAAGCTTTGACTAAGCATTCGAAAAGCTTTCAGCAAGCTTTGTTGAAACTTTTAAAACTGCAATTCAGCTGCAGTTTAAAAGACCAAAACACAGAACCTAATTGGAGTGCTGATTGCCACTTTGAGCAAGCTGCTAGCAGGCTTCAGCACGGCTTGAGGCTTGCTGAAAGCCCTCTGAAGCCTGCTAGCAGTTTGTTTAAAATGGCAATCAGCACTCCAGCTCCAGTTTGTAAATGTTTAACACAGAACCTAATTGGAGTGCAGATTGCCATTTTAAACAAGCTGCTAGCAGGCTTCAGAGGGCATAGAAGCAAGCCTGAACAAGTTGCTAGCAGGCTTCAGTATGTCTTAAGGCTTGCTGAAAGCCCTCTGAAGCCTGCTAGCAGCTTGTTTAAAATGGCAATCTGCACTCCAATTAGGTTCTGTGTTAAACATTTACAAACTGGAGCTGGAGTGCTGATTGAAGCCTGCTAGCAGTTTGTTTAAAATGGCAATCAGCACTCCAGCTCCAGTTTGTAAATGTTTAACACAGAACCTAATTGGAGTGCAGATTGTCACTTTGAACAAGTTGCTAGCAGGCTTCAGAGGGCTTTCAGCAAGCCTTAAGATGTACTGAAGCCTGCTAGCAACTTGTTCAGGCTTGCTGAAAGCCCTCTGAAGCCTGCTAGCAACTTTGTCACTTTGGAGTGCAGATTGTCACTTTGAACAAGTTGCTAGCAGGCTTCAGAGGGCTTTCAGCAAGCCTGAACAAGTTGCTAGCAGGCTTCAGTACATCTTAAGGCTTGCTGAAAGCCCTCTGAAGCCTGCTAGCAACTTGTTCAAAGTGACAATCTGTAAATGTTTAAACACAAAACCTAATTGAACAGTTGCTAGCAGGCTTCAGAGGGCTTTCAGCAAGCCTTAAGACGTACTGCAGCCTGCTAGCAACTTGTTCAGGCTTGCTGAAAGCCCTCTGCCATTTTAAACAAACTGCTAGCAGGCTTCAGAGGGCTTTCAGCAAGCCTGAACAAGTTGCTAGCAGGCTTCAGTAAGTCTTAAGGCTTGCCGAAAGCCCTCTGAAGCCTGCTAGCAACTTGTTCAAAGTGGCAATCAGCACTCCAATTAGGTTCTGTGTTAAACATTTACAAACTGGAGCTGAATGGTACTTTAAAAGCTTCAATAAAGCTTGCTGTTTATAGAAGCTGAAGCCCATGAGAAACCAGCCTCACCAAAGAGACGGGCTGGCATCACTGGGTACTTGGTCTGGATCTGTAAAAATTCTTACAATAGAACATTTTATGTCCATATCTGGACTTTTGATTTTACCCCTTTTGGCTGTTGGCCCAGTGAAGTTTTTTTTTTTTTTTTTTAATCGTCAGCACATCCAGAGACGGTTGATGTAATACTGGAGTTTTATACACCGAATCAAGTTTTAGTACACATGCTAAAATTATTTACACAAAACCAGGTCATAAACTGAGCATCTGATGGAAAAAAAAAAAAAAAAATTCTGAAGCAGAGGTCAGTTTCAGTAAAAACCTGCGTGTCACGATGATCAGCAGATCCGGACTTTTTTTTTTTTTTTTATTTGTTCTTTTTCAACCATCGTTCTGGCTTTGATGAGGTGACTCAGAGCTCCCGATCCCCGCTGTCAGTGGTTCAATCTAGTTTTCGGGGTTTAGATTCACATTACCTTCTTTTCAGTTTTATTAAAGCCACATGTAACTGGCGTCCTCAAAAGGACTCGTGTCACAATGCAAAGCAGGTCAAGTGCATCTCAGAGCCATCGCTCACATTGAAGCAGATTGGCTACTCTGAAGGAATTTCTGGACCGCCGTTTGATGTGTATTTCCAACGCATGTCAAACACACGCAGCAAAGAACACCCGTCTGCAGATGTCAAAAGGGACAGCGTGCCCCCATGTGACATCTGTTTTCATCCACAAACCTTACTCACAATCAGAGAACCGTTGGTCAGATGGTTTGTGGGGGAGCGAAATGTCAAATCCTGCGGATGCCAAGTGCGGCCCCTAGTCGGAATGGATGCCTCATCGCATGTAAAAAAAAAAAAAAGAAAAAAAAAAAAAGGAAGGAGAGATCAAAACATTCTTGCCGTTTCTGCTGCAGTGGATGGCAGACAGAAATCCATGTATATCTGCTCCCCCTGCTGCATAGACAGAGTACTGCGTGCTTCTACGTGTTCCGTTTTCTGGGAAAAGGCCACTACCAGGGGTGGACTGACAACTCATGGGGCCCCCGGGCAATAGAGGATCATGGGGCCCCTGTGTCCGTGTCCAAACTCAAAAAAGCCTATGAAAAAGGTACCAGGGGCATCTCATGGGGCCGGATATCGCATGTACTCTCCAGCGCCTCAGGATATGCACAGCCAAAAAGGGAAGCCAAGGGTACCAGGACAGCGAAAACCAAAGGAAATGCGTCAGGGTTGCAGCCCTCCTCAGACGGGGAAATCAGCCACTGGATGGAGAGAAAACAGGTGGCGCACACACCTAGTGCATTATCCAAGGTTTATTGTAAAGAGTAAAAAATAATAAAAACAAACGAAGCATGTATCTAAAAAGCATAGAAAAATGACGATGGCCACAACGGCAGGCAAGGTGTCCTCACTGTCAGTGCGGTCAAATGACTGACGCGTTTCGGGGACGAATCCCTTTCCTCAGAGCTGATGACCAACCTCTGATGCAGATGTGTGATGAATGGAAAGTGGGAGCCCTGGTGCCTGGTGCATGCCTGAGACCCCAAAGCTACTGACCTCGGGCA